AATCTTAAGATATAATAATCCTTTTACCGATAATTTTTCGAAGGTGTTACGAATGTGCGTTGTTCGTACATACCTGTCATGATCAGTGTTGCGTGTCCTTCGAATTAACGAGATTTTTGCTATCGTTCTTCTAATCGGAACATTTCGAACGCCATGTCTCGGCCGCCACTTTATACTTTGGCATCTCCATTTGGTGCGAAGGCAAAAAAAATAATAGTTGCTTTTTTGTGAGATATGGTCAGAAATTCTCATTAAATGCAACGTGCTAACACTTGTTTTCGCACGATGCATATCGCACCAAAACTACTAATGGATAAATGAGGGCGATGGTGTAAACATACAGTTGAACTGAAATAAATTACTAAAACGCATTTTTACGGGCCGATTCTACCTTGCAATAGACCAATGTTATGGCAAGGCCATGTTAGGTTCCAACTTGCATACATTATGCTACTGAATCATACTGAATACTGCCAAAATGTCATGCATTTGCTGTGCATTCAGGCGTTTCACACATAAACTGTAACGTCACTTGCTTGTTATGAAACTAAGTCAAAAAGACCCTGTTAACTAAAATCGTTTTTTTGACATTTGTGCGGTTTCTAGGTTAGATTTTTTATCTGGCAACCTGATAAAAACGCCTGACTGCAGAGCAACCACATGGCTTTTGATAATATTTAGAACGATTTAGTATGGAAGGTTCTAAATAACATAGCCTTACCATAACGTTTGTCTGATGTACGGCAGAATTATTAAATTTCCTCACTTCCTTAGATGCGTGGTAGATGTACCTACTATGACTAAATTTATGTGTTTTTAAAATCAACTGATATGAGTTGACCGTGGTAAGAACGTGGTCTAGAAACCACATGTTTCGGGTTTGATACCTGATTCGGCCAGATTGATGTCAAGATGTAGTAAAACTAGACTCACTTGAGACTATAGATCTGAAATATGATAAGTGATTAGCATTTCGGATGCAATTCTGACAAAAATATCACAGAATCTGATAATAATCACATAGAAAATGGTCGACTACCGAGTTGTATTCTAAAAGCAATAGTTTCATAAAGGATTCATAATACATCTAAATTAAAAGAATTTTGAATAAGAAATAAAAGAATGACTATGATCTGGCACAATATAATTAACCTGATGTTACAAAAAAAATTTTGCTTTGATGAATTTAAAAGTTTATTTTTAGGAAGTAGAAAAGTTATTAAGTAAGATAAAGGCTGAACTAATCAAGGCACTAATTTGATTAGTCGATGTCCTGGTGTTGTACTAAAAACTATGGAAAATAATGTAAGGGTTTTTATTTAGATTAGATTTATCTGACTGATATGATATTTATGGCAGAATTAGATTCGAAAATCTTATTGATATCAAGCCAAAAGTAGGTATCAATCTCGGAACCTGCGGTTCCTAGACCGCGTTCTTAAGATATATTTATACCCCCTTCATGTTAATATCTTCTATAAAATTTGGATTTTAGTATTGCATTGAAGAAATATGAATTTTCTATACTTTTCTCTATATGTCCCCTTCGTATTAGTATTTTCCATAAAATTGTGATTTTAAGGACCAAAAAATAAATTTGCAACAACAATGTCAAATTAATCAAAGAAATTGGAGTTTTGCCTGTAATTCTATCATGTATCTGATCTATTATTTATTACGTATTTTAAAACTATCTTTTTTATTTACAGTTGACGCCTATCGGAACGACCATTTTCCAAGGTATCTTAGCCAAAGATGCTGACGCCGGTGTCAATGGGCTGGTGGAATATTTCATCGAAATGGGCGATGGAAGCGGTTTGGGCCCTGATTCTGGTGTCGGAAACACTAGAATTACATCAGCTGATGGATATGGCTACTTTTCTATCAATTTGCCTCATCAAGGACAAGTAACGGTTAACAGGACCCTGGACTATGAGCGGACTCAACGATACCTTCTTACTTTGGTCGCATCGGTATGTGGAAATATTCAACCTAAATTCCTATATTTTTGTATCATACATAATAGAGTAGTACTGAAAAAAAAATCGCAGTTTATGCATAGGTGCGTGCAAATTGTGAACCTATATATATACATATATAAATTTAATTATTTATTTATTGTTGCTTCAAGTTCATGATTCTGATACACACCTTTCATAAATATTGATAACGGTTTCCTTGGCAATATCAAGGAATTAAGGTGTGTGCACAATCTCACCAGAAAAGCTATAACTATTTTGTGCAAAGTCGATAAATCTGATGCGACACTGATCCATCCATCTATTAATCCAAAAATTATTGGATCTATCTTTATTTAATTCGATATAAATCGTGTTGCGAATTTTAAATTATTATTATCCTAAGGTTGTTCAACTTTAATAAAAGTATTGATTAAATTACCATATAAAGCTTTGAATGATGGTCTGATTATCTTACTAATCCAAAACAATGGTCAAGAAATCCACGAGTGTTATTCTAGCTTTTTCTATTAGATTTGCCAATTAGAAAAAATGGTGCAAGAAGTTACTATAAAATAAAAATGTCTCGTAATTCAATTTTTGGTTGTTTGCAATGCAGTTAATTCAAATATAATTTATCTAGATATACTTCATCAAAAATGTTAAACGTTTTAGTTTGCAAGTAGTACATACTCACTAAAAAAATAAAAAATAAGATATTGTAAAATCAAGTCAATAAGGTTACAATTTTAAATCGTCTGTGTTATAGTCCAACAAAATTATATTAATACTTTGGTAATATATTATTAAATATAAAGTAATCACTACAAACCAAATAATAATAAAACCACATAAATAAAATTGTTTTAAGCACGCACCATGAACTTTTATGAAGTAGTTCAAGTAGCAACTAGTGCTTAAGGCAAATTGCTGGAACTTCCCGTACGGCAAATTGAAAATTTAAAAAACCTATAAAATTTAAGATTTTTTAGAATTGAGTTTTTGAAAAAAATCGACTTTTGAAAAATTTCAATGTTTGTTATTCTTTGAACTTTTCTGAAAATTTTGAACTTTTATTCAAAGCATTCGTTTTGCGTGGCTGCTTTAGAGAAGAAATATCGAAGCGCGTAAGCGCCGCATCGCAGTCTATTGATACGGAACCCATAGAAATGTGAATAAAATTTGTTATTAACTTCCCGTAGGGCAAGTTATAGTAATCGCAAAAAAATCGAAAATGAAATTTTTTGCATTTCTCGACGTTTCAAAGGTTTCTGAATATTTTGGCATACCTTAGAAAAAATGGATGTATGTGTGTGTGTGTGTGTGTGTGTGTGTGTGTGTGTGTGCGTGTGTGTATGTATGTGCGGATACAAATTTTCGTCGACGATTTCGGGAACACCGATCAACCGATTTGAATAATTCAAAAAACATGCGATTCGTATTGATAAGGAGACGTGCTGATTAGTTTTTGGCGAAGGCAGGTCTATCCGTTCCGAAGATACGGGGCAAAAAGTGCCAAAAACGGTAACTCAGTTTTTAAGAGAACGGAAAGTCCGATTTTAATAATTCAAAAAACATTTTACTTGTATTGACAAGGTGAAGAACCGATCAAATTTTCATAAAAGCAGGTCTAGCGGTTTCGGAGATCTAATGAAAAAAGTAAAAAAAAATGCCATTTGACGGTCAAAAATGATCATTAGACATATGCACATCAAATTATCAGATATTTTATAGAGATTTTAACAATAAGTATAATTTTGGTTTACATTCCTATGGGTTCCGTACCAATGTTTACGCGTTAGACGTCGACGCGGCGCTTACGCGGTTTGATATTTCGTCTTTATGCAGTTAAAGCAGTACGATTGCTTTGAAAAAAAGTTTAGATCTTTCAAAATATGTCAAAATAAAGAAAACATTTTTTTTTCAAAAAAAAAAAAATCAAGAAAAAATTTTTTTTTTCAAAAAAAGTAATTTTTTGTCTAATTGTTTGTCAAAAATCTTATTTTTCGAAGTAAATTTTTTTCAAAAATGTTAATCGTTTTTAAAAAAATAATAATTTTTGGTACGGGAAGTTCCAGCAATTTGCCTTAAGGCACGATGCCTTAATTGCCTTAAGACAGAATTCCACTTACAGCTAGTTTTGGTTTACATTCCTATGGGTTCCGTACCAATGTTTACGCGTTAGACGTCGACGCGGCGCTTACGCGGTTTGATATTTCGTCTTTATGCAGTTAAAGCAGTACGATTGCTTTGAAAAAAAGTTTAGATCTTTCAAAATATGTCAAAATAAAGAAAACATTTTTTTTTTCAAAAAAAAAAAAATCAAGAAAAAAATTTTTTTCAAAAAAAGTAATTTTTTGTCTAATTGTTTGTCAAAAATCTTATTTTTCGAAGTAAATTTTTTTCAAAAATGTTAATCGTTTTTAAAAAAATAATAATTTTTGGTACGGGAAGTTCCAGCAATTTGCCTTAAGGCACGATGCCTTAATTGCCTTAAGACAGAATTCCACTTACAGCTAGTTAATATCTCTATAAAATATTTGAATATTTGATGTGCCTATGTCTAATGATCATTTTTGACCGTCAAATGGCATTTTTTTACTTTTTTCACTCGATCTCTGAAACCACTAGACCTGGTTTCCAAAAATTCAAACAGACGCTCCTGCATTTTATCAATACAAATCGAATGTTTCTTAAATTATTCAAATCGGTTGCTTGCGAAATCGTCGATAAAAATTTTTGTCCGCACGCACGCACGCACGCACGCACGCACGCACACACACGCACACACATGCATTATTTCTAATTATAAGGTATGCGAAATTGTTCAGAAACGTCTTAAACGTAAAGATATATAAAAATTTTCATTTTCGATTTTTTACGAATACTATAACTTACCCCACGTGAAGCTAAACTAGCTGTAAGTGGAATTCTGTCTTAAGGCAATTAGGGCATCGTGCCTTAAGGCAAATTGCTGGAACTTCCCGTACCAAAAATTATTATTTTTTCAAAAAACGATTAACATTTTTGAAAAAAAATTACTTCAAAAAAATAAGATTTTTGAGAAACTATGAATTGGACAAAAAAATTACTTTTTTTTGAAAAAAAATTTTTTTTTTAATTTTTTTTTTTTTTGAAAAAAAAAATGTTTTCTTTATTTTGACATATTTTGGAAGATCTGAACTTGTTATTCAAAGCAATCGTACTGCTTTAACTGCATAGAGACAAAATATAAAGCGCGTAAGCGCGGCGTCGCTGTCTAACGGGTAAACATTGGTACGGAACCCATTGGAAAATAAACAAAATTTATACTTATTGTTAAAATCTCTATAAAATATCTGAAAACTTGATGTGCATATGTCTAATGATCATTTTTGACCGCCAAATGGCATTTTTTTTTACTTTTTTCGTTAGATCTCCGAAACCGCTAGACCTGCCTTTATGAAAATTTGATCAATTTTTTACCTTGTCAATACAAGTAAAATGTTTTTTGAATTATTAAAATCGGACGCTCCGTTCTCTTAAAAACTGAGTTACCGTTTTCGGCACTTTTTGCCCCGTATCTCCGAAACGGCTGGACCTGCCTTTGCCAAAAACTAATCAGCACGTCTCCTTATCAATACGAATCGAATGTTTTTTGAATTATTCAAATCGGTTGATCCGTGTTCCCGAAATCGTCGACGAAAATTTGTATCCGCACATACATACACACACACACGCGCACACACACACACACACACATACATCCATTTTTTCTAAGGTATGCCAAAATGTTCAGAAACCTCTGAAACGTAAAGATATATAAAAATTTTCATTTTCGATTTTTTTGCGATTACTATAACTTACCCTACGGGAAGTTAAAAATTAATTCATAAAAATGCATCTATAATTTAAAATTTACCAGCAACAACTTATTATTAAAGCTTTTAAATTTACTATTAGCCTATTATGTATATATTAATTTTTTGTCTTACTAATAAGGTTTGTTAAACAAATTATCACAATTGAAGCATTAGCACTCATTAACATCTTCCCATGCATAAATATCGCTTTTATCATTATTGAGAAAGTATGTGATAAAAACAAATAACTATGAGGCAAAACAATATATAACATGATATAGATATTTTGATTTCAACATTAACTATAGCAGAGAAACTATATTATTCATGATCGTGGGCAAAATTCTCACGAGTACTTATTTCCATTCTGATAATTCTCATATAGAATAATCCATTATTTTTCTGATCTACATAATATAGACAGTTGAGTGGAGTTGTTTGATTAATTACGAGATATTCAATATGTTCATGTTATATTAGATTGTGTTTTACTAGTCTTATTGCTTTCTACGTTATATAACATGTTACTATTTCAATGAATTTACTGCACAAATAATTATTAGTTTGATTATTACGTTGCATATAATCAAATTCCATTAGCTACGAGATAATAGTATATTAAAATGAAAATTGATTTCGAACTAATCATAGTAAAAGTGAATAAATCATGTGGACATATGAGAGAAATTCCAGGATTATTTAGTTTACTTGTATTGTCAAATGCTGTTTATTAGAAAGTTAATCATGGAGCTTTCCATACCAATAACTAAATTTAAAAAAAACTGCAAAACTTGGAAAAAAATTGGTTTTTGAGATATTTTGAAATTTTTGAAAGAAATTGACTTTTTTGTGTTTTGATTTTTTTATTATTTGAAAATTTGAACATTTGTTTAAGCAATCGCGCCGCATAGTTGATTTGGAGTCAAAATATCAAAGCGCGTAAGCGCCGCGTAGTCGTCTAACGTATAAACATTGGTACGGATCCCATATAAATGTACACAAAATTTGTACTTTTTATTATAATTTTTATAAAATATCTGATATGGGAATTTTTCGAAATATGTTAAAGACTTTTATTTCTTTTATTGGCCTCTGATAACATTTAGCCACATACATAATATACAATACATAGATAGCATATATATTATATTAATCACTCACATCTTAATTTTACTATCATTAACAAACCTAATTATGTAAGGCTAACAATTCAAATTTTGCAATTATGATGTCAAATTGAAGGGTTTGATCAGTGTTTTCATAGAGTTGCGCAAAACTGATAAATGCAGCCTTATCGAGTTACGTCAAACAGCTTTCAAATTTTTGAAATTGATACCGCTTTTGACAGAAAACGTCGACCAAAGGTAAAAATCAGCTCACATACATAAACCCATATATTTTTCTCAAATTTGGTCTCAAACGATTTAGAATAACCTGAAACGCCAAGAAAACAAAATTAGTAAGTCCAATTTTTTGTGAAATTAACTTCTTCGGATGTCTTGGGATTTTTGTGATGAATATTTAAATATTTTTTATGAACTTTTAAATAGCAAAAATGCCCATGACATAAAATTTTTAAATTTCAAATCTGATAAAAAAGCGCAGAATCAAAAAGCAAAAAAAGTAGAAAAAAAATCACAATTATAATTTTCGGAAGGTTAAACAAATTGTTAAGATAATCTTCTTATAAAGGAACCTCGCAGAAAAAAGTTGCCCAAAAATAAAAGGTCAAAGACGATTACTGTTTTGAATTATTAGTGTGTTCATTATAAAATAAAAAAAAACTATATTTTAATTTTTAAATTTTCTCAATAATTTGAGAAGATAAAGGGAGTATCAATTCATAACTTATTTATGAAGCATTTTTGCTCCGATGCTTCAATTATGACTTGTATTTTATAAGATATTTTAGAAGATAACTATTATATTCTCGAAAAACATAAAAAATCAGCACATGTTATGGCTTTAATCTCAAACGTAATAAGACAAATTTTTATTATAATAATCGAGACTTACGAGTATATAGAAGTCAGATCAAATTAACTTATCTATATGAATAATATTTTTTTTATTTTTTCATGTTTTTGCTCTTTATACTTTTAAAGTTATCATACTTTCAAAGTTATATACTTTTAAAGTTATATCCATTAGTAGGGTGGGGTTTAAAGGTTTGCGGGTAAAAAGATCCAACATCATTATCTCAAAAACAAACAAAGTATAGAATTTTTATGGATACTATTTTAAAGTAGAAGGGTGAAGATATATAACAAGCAATCACCTTAATTTTGATAATGTCGCTATCAGGAGATATTCGGAAATCAATCAATCAATTATCAATCAAGTATCAATTTTTATGATAAAAGTTTTTTTGTTGGTAGATTTTTGGTTATGAGCACCTGTATTAATTTTCTTATGGTACCTAAATATATTTTTTGAACATACGTTCTTTAATTGTTTTGTAAGACGTATTGTTATTTTTAAGTTAGATTCAACCGTTTTCCTATATAAACTCTATAAAAGTTTACATGTAGCTGGTTAAAAAGAACCAACTAAACTTTTACATTGACAAAGGTTACAATAAGAAATAGTAACTAAGAAAGTGAATTAAGTTAACAAAATGAAATTTCACAAAAGATAAATCAAATTCATAGTTGTTCAACCTTTCTTTGGAATTCTATTTTTTTTTTAAATACTCGTTCAAGTTCAAGGTTATATACAATGTAATTATTGTAAAAAAAAAGTGTCGCCATAAAGTTTGCATTTCATATTGGTTAAATAATGTAGTTGTTATTTTGCAAAATTCCTTCAAAATTAACAAAAATGAAGTTGGATCGGTTTGCCACCTGGCTGCACCTTTATTATCTTGCTTATAGGGCAAAACGGGACAGATGACAAATTTTAGAAAAATAGAAAACAAAAACGTATTATTCAAATTGGAATTTTACTGAACATAGAGTACGATAATTGTTTGATATATGTAATGCGTTGTCATATAGTTCATTTAGTTTGACAGTATAATTAATGAAAGTCGTGGACCTTTGTGCCCCTCCCTACCTTATATCAACTTTCCACCTGATTATAAAATCTATTCTTCTATTACAGGATCGTGCAAGAAATGCTAGTGAACGTATGACTGCCACAACCACTCTTACGATTAACATACAAGATGCGGACGATCAGGATCCATCCTTTATTTACCAGGGTTGTGTATTACTGGACGGTGCTTGTATTAACCCCGAATATACTGCCACGGTAAAATACTACCAACTATAAATTAGGATCCAACATAAACTTTATACTAAGTAACTATTTTATCATCTTTAAGGTCTCGAGCGGAGTTTTATCTGGAATTCTTCTGATATCACCTGAGAAAATCCAGGCGGTGGATATGGACACACTTCAAGCCCCCATTCGATATTCTTTTTTGAGTGGAACACCTGCTGATTGGGGCGAATATTTTGAAATACACCCGAACACAGGAGCTGTGCGTCAAATCAAGGCTATTGACACAGTTGAACCCAAGAGATATGAATTGATCGTGAAGGTAATTTAGATAAAAAATTATAACTAGCTGTAAGTGGAATTCTGTCTTAAGGCAATTAAGGCATCGTGCCTTAAGGCAAATTGCTGGAACTTCCCGTACCAAAAATTATTATTTTTTTAAAAAAACGATCAACATTTTTGAAAATATTTTACTTCGAAAAAATAAGATTTTTGAGAAACTATAAATTGGACAAAAAATTACATTTTTTTGAAAAAAAATTTTTTTTTTAGAAAGATTTTTTTTTTCATTTTTTTTTTAAATATGTTTTCTTTATTTGAACATATTTTGAAAGATCTAAACTTTTTTTCAAAGCAATCGTACTGCTTTAACTGCATAAAGACGAAATATCAAAGCGCGTAAGCGCCGCGTCGCCGTCTAACGCGTAAACATTGGTACGGAACCCATAGGAATGTAAACCAAATTTATACTTATTGTTAAAATCTCTATAAAATATTTGATAATTTGATGTGCATATGTCTAATGATTATTTTTGACCGCCAAATGGCATTTTTTTTACTTTTTTTACTAGATCTCCGAAACCGCTAGACCTGCCTTCATGAAAATTTTATCAATTCTTCATCTTGTCATTACAAGTAAAATGTTTACAATTGTTACCAAAAACTAATCAGCACGTCTCCTGTTTCGAATGTTTTTTGAATTATTCAAATCGGTTGATCGGTGTTCCCGAAATCGTCGCCGAAATTTTGTTTCCGCACATACATACGAGGTGTGTTCAAAAAGTACCCGGAATTACTAATAATTAAATTTCGCGGGTCTGGAGTGTCTGATTGTCAAAATTTTTTTTTTATTGTGTTGGTATACATGCCCCTAAAGTATGATGAAATTTTCAGCTATATTCACTGTTTACTTTGTCTGTGGTAGTCGCTAAGGTTCGACGTGTTTTTCTGAGCTCGGCGATTTTTACAATGGAAGAATTGAAAAGTCAAAGAATTTGTATTAAATTTTGCGTAAAAAATGAAATAAAGTGTTGCAAAGTGCAAAAATTCACCAGATATGGCTCCGTGTGACTTTTTCCTATTCCCAAAGTTGAAGAGACCCATGAAAGGACGGCGGTTTTCCTCGATTGAAGAAAATCGCTGAGAGTGCTCAAGGACATATCAAAAAGTGAATATCAAGGGTGCTTCGAAAATTGGAAAAAACGCTGGCATAAGTGTATTATATCTGGGGGGGACTACTTTGAAGGGGACCACATTAATGTAGACGAATAAATAAATATTTTTTTGAAAAAACGAAAATTCCGGGTACTTTTTGAACAGACCTCGTACACACACGCACATACATACACACACGCACACACACACACACACATAAATCCATTTTTTCTAAGGTATGCCAAAATATTCAGAAACCTTTGAAACGTCGAGAAATGCAAAAATTTTCATTTTCGATTTTTTTGCGATTACTATAACTTGCCCTACGGGAAGTTAATAATTAATCTCTCAAATATGTGTAATTTTTTTGAGGTGTTATGTTAAATTATTTTGCCTTTGAGTTTAGACGTAAGAGAGACTGGGTACGGTTGTGCCACTTTTTTTATCAGCCATAATTCACCAGTTAGCTGGAAAAAAGTAAATTAAATGGTGATTTGAACATTTGTCTACGTGGAAATGCTGATATATACGATATATTAAACATAAAATCAACTCATACAAAAATAGGGCTAGTGGTACAACCGTCCTCAATAAATTGAATTCTATCGAAATTGACACTCGTAGTGATAGTGAAAAATGTCTTTATGTAATAGAGAGATTGCAATTAAATGGAACTGGTATCTATTAAAAATATATATTATTTTATAGAACATAATAAATTATACGACTCAATTAGTCAAATCCAGAGAAGGCAACGGTCTAATTATTATCGCGAGTCACAAAATTTTATATTTTGCAACAACTGTATATCACTTGATTTAAATTCAATAAATGAATTATTAGTTATGTGAAGAAAAATAAATATAATAAGTAATTGCTCATCTCCCAATTTGGTATAATTATAATTAGGTGCAATAGAGTATAGGTCTCATACTATAGGAATAAGGTGGCCATATTTTTTCCCATGAAATCCAGGATGGATTAGAATGTGTGTGAGAGCGAGAGGGGGGGGGGTGTTGGTGAGCTAAAAACTTATACGCACATTTTTTCGGTACAAATTTTTTAGTTGAAAGATATTTAATAAAATATTGGCAATCAAAACATTTTTAAAAATCCGGGACAATCCGGGACAAAACACCTAAAATCGGGACAATTATTGCTTCTAGAAAAAGCCGGGACGCAAGGCGGAAAATCGGGACTGTCCCGGCCAATCCAGGACGTATGCTCACCATATAGGATATATAGATTTGATCATGTTTTATTTTTCAAAGACAGTAAAAATATTAGGAATAAATAAAACTTCTTATTTGTATATCATTACAGTTAATACTGTATCATTTTAAACAAATATATGAAATAATCTATAATTATAGATGATTAGCCAAATATGGACAAATGCAATCACGAAAAACGAATATGTTGAACAGCTTGAGTAACATACTCATATATAAATAACATTGCAATATATTTTCAATCGGTATAAAACCAGACACTTAAATCCGCATCAGTGCAATTATGTATTGGAAAATCTCTCTAATGTTTTTCTAAGTACTTTGTACTTATGTGTTTGTGTTTGTATGTATATATATATATATATATGTATATATATATATATATATATATATATTACAAATGTATTCTGAGTGGATAATAGATTTCCAAATATATATATATATATATATATACAGGGCCGGTCCTACCTTGAATGCAATGCATGCAAAAAATGCGGGCGCACGCCTTAGGGGGCGCCAAAATGAGATGCGGATATGAAATTTATAATATAGTTTCGTCAATCTCATTCAAGAAATAATCTTTGGACAATGTTTTTCAAAATACTTTAAAACAACGATCTGATACACTATGAGATAGTAAAGAATGCTACATACTGTCCGGCCGTTACGATATTAATTATTAGCAGAATATCAATTTTGGATATTTTAAATAATGAAAAATTAATTTTAAAAAATCCAACATGATGTACCTGTGTTTACTAATGAAAGGTTAGAATTTTTTTGCTGCTCAATAGATTAATCGCATGAAATCCCCAAAATAAATAAGTATAATGTTTCAAAACGTAAATATCAATATTATAACTGCATTACAAATGAATGAAAATATTCTATATTTGGATAGAAGACAACAATTTGATTATGAGCACCCTTGAATCGCCTCGATCTTCTAAATAAATCTAAAATCAATGTATTTTTTGGGCTTTCAGATTATATCTGAATTTTTGTGTATTAAATCCATAATTATTGAAAAGTATTTTAATAAAGTAACGTAAATGTTTTTTAATTTTAATGATAAACTGTTAAAACACTTAAAATAATAAGAGGGAGGGGGCGCTAGAAAAAAAAAATGATATGCGGGCGCAGAGGACCCCAGGACCGGCCCTGTTTAATTATATATTTATTTATTTATATATATATATATATATATATATATATATATATATATATATATGCATGCCCTGATATATGTTGCTAGAAATATTATAGGTACTATATTTGGTCTTCGAAATTTGTCCATATTTGGAATTTTTAAATTTATATCCTTATATAACTAACATAAACCAATGTGTTAATGTATAAGGAGACGAAATACTAAGTTTTATATTAGTTTCTTTAAAAAATATATATTCTCCAAGTAATTAATATTTTTACAGCTAACAGAACTAATATACATACATTCAATGAACCTAGGAAAAGTGTGAATATTGAAGTCCCGTGAAAACGTAGAGTATTTAAGCGTACTTTAAATCTGCAAAAGCTTATGATACGAAATATATTTATTCATATAAATATTCATTTTTTTCCGAGGACGATGTTTTCACTAGAAAATTTGATTTGCTAATATCATTTTTTCTCCACACATTCAGCATTGTAAATTTGAAAATTTAGTGATAAAGTATGTGGATTAATTTTTGCCTTTTTGCCTTTTTGCCTTTTTTCATTGTTTTAACATCAAAACTATGGAACAATTTTGAAAATTCTAAATGTTTTAAAATATATAAATTGGTCTGATGCAGATTAATATATTAATTTGGCAGCTTCAAAAAAAATCCTTGTCAATCAATTCGATTAATTTTAGATATTTAGAAGTTGATACCAATTACAGCTAGTTTGTTCCAATTTTAGGTGCTAAATTAGTGAGTGTGTGCAAATATTATTTGAATTTACATGCACTTCTATACTTGTGTCTTTCATCGATTTTCTTGAGATTTTTGGAAACGGCTTTACCGATTTTAATAATTTAAAACTATTTGATAAAACGCAAATAACTAACTAACTAACATTGATTAGTAGACTCGTGCAATGCGTCAAGTAAAAATAAAAAACATTTTGAAGAATCAAAACCCTTAATATACTCATTGGTTTATAGTGCTGATGCTGAATATTAATAGATTAGTTTAAATTTTTTTTAATCAGATTAGTTGGTTAAAAAAATAATCTACGTCGACCAAGTCGATTATTTTCACATGTCAGTAAATTTCCATCATTTACAACGAGTTTGTTTTAATTTCAGGCGCAGGAAGTGTCAGAAGCACAAAGGTTTGCGACGGCTAAATTAGCGATAGAGGTAAAACCAGTAGACGCGAACCCACCTGTAATTAACGCGACCGCCGTCGAAGGATACGTTAATGAAAATGCTCCCGTCGGAACCAAGGTTGTCGATGAAAATGGAGATCCCGTTACACTCACTGTCACAGATGAAGACCTGGTAAGTGTTTATTTTTGTATTTTATATAAAAAACGATAAATAAAATTTTGAGCTTTATTCATGATCTCGACCTTTGTTGAAGACAATTTTAAATTTTCTTATGCAAATAATAAATATCTAATTAATTATACTTTCTAATCTGGTACATTAACAAAAAATTTTTTTTTATTTAGAGATTTTTTTTAATTTGCGATATATGGTTCTATAATTATATAATTATAGTCAATATTTATAATTGTCTGTTTATTGTCAATAATTGCAGTCGTTCTCAACCAGTCTACCAAACCTTATATAATTTTGATTGAAATAGTTTAGTTATAATTATTACCCTCAATATTAGGAGAAATACGGACAAAATGGCACAGTGGCCTTATATAAAAAATGACTAGCTTTAGTAACATTTAACATAGAAATAGCTATAATCACAATTCTGTCAGATGTTGAGCGCCATTGTCCCAATCTTGTTTCAGTAATCAGTGCAAACATGTATCGCGCCTTCTAAATTTTATTTTGTGGGTTGTTTTCTATTAAAATCAATGAACATATGGTACAATTATGATTACTTATTTATGTTTGTTTAGTTTCGAACGAAATGAAATTCTTATACAATGGACAAAATGACATAGTACCTTTTCGAAAGTGCCTAAGGGTAGTTCATTCTAGACAAAAAAAAAATGAAACTTATAAAGAGCAATTGACTTTTAACTTTTACTCTATTTACTTCTAAAGTCAGACCAAACGGGAAAAGTAAAAAAAGAGGCTTGCATTTATTGTAAAGAATTATTTTCCCATTCAGAACCAGAGGCGAAGGTTATTGGTTACGATGTATGACCTGTTCCCTTAGGGTTCATGCCTTATGTGCTAATGTGCAAATGTGCCAAAAAGAACCAAACGATTTATTTCTGAACTGCCTTTCTAAAAATTTATCTCAGTATGTCCTTACGTTATGTTATTTTGTCTCGACTGTATGGACAGAATGGTTTTTGTTGCATTTCAAAAATTTAGAAACTTATCAATGTATTTTGATGTGGATTATCTTTCCTCAGCCGTTTTTTGGTAATTTGGAAAAAAAGTTTAAACTTTTCGTCCACGTTTAAGCTCATACTACCGAATCGATTTTAAAAAAAATCAAAAACTGTTTGAAAGATATTAGTTGGGAATGTTACTGATTAGTTTTAGGTGAAAATCTACTAAGCCGTTTTCTTGTAATTAACTGTTGAAAAAAAATGAAGATTTTTATGGAATTTTTTTCGGCGATATAAATCATGGTCTTATAGAACCATATTATAACCCGTAATATTACGGCTTTATGACAAGTAGTTTAATTTTAAAAAATCATCAAAGTTTGAGAAAACGAGTAGTTTTTCTGACGTTAGCTAACATTAAAATTAGATTTACTTGGTATAACGATAGAGTACTTGGTCTTAATGAAAATACTAAATCATTAAAGTTCTACGGAAACTGGTTCAATTTTAAAAATTATAGATTTTTGAAAATTTGCTTTTAGAAAATGCTCCTAGTTAACGTGTTCGTTCGTTTTCAATTATGTGTAATAAATCCACTCGAAATACTTTTAATTGTATCATTTATTCATAAATTAATTTACTTTTTATTGATTAAGACAATTTTTACACATATCGGGAAGTTCATGTAACTTGCCTCAAGGCAAAATACCAATACCAAATAGTTAAATATGTTTCTTCTTTATTAAAAGAAATACTATTGTACTGGTAGTTAATGTAGCTAAGATAAGTAAAGATGATTTGAACTGATTATAATATTATTAAATAAATAAACATCATTTAAAAAACGAATATCACGTCATTTTGTCCTTATTATTTCTTTTCAATAATTCAGATTTGCTTTAATTGTCATTTCCAAAATATAAGATTTATACTTTTAAATATGAATGAAATTTTGATGTTTGTGTATTCAAGTTAAAAATTTTATGGTAATAATAGTAATAATAATTAATAATATAACACTTTGTTTTTTATTTAAAGATGTTAAAAGGTTTTGTTCCGATAATCGTAGTAAGCATGAACTTAAATAATGAATGCATAGAAAGATTTTCAATTAATTTATAAAATATATTTAAAAAATGTATCTTATAAATTCAATTCACAGGGACCTGACAATCCTAAGCCCATGTACACATTCGAGTTAACAACACCATTTTTCGAAATCGACAAGAACGGTGTTCTTGTGGTAAATGAAGAAAATCTAGATCGCGATCCTCCAAGTCCCGGAAACTTCAAATTTCAGGTGCGTTATCTCACATTATCAACTAATATTTGTATTTTTGAGTTAATTGATTTTAATCAAATTAATTTAATTACAGGTAGTTGCGAGAGAAACCTTTGGAAATGCAGCTAGTGCACCATTATCGTTGTCGGTTAATTTAATTGATGTAAATGATAATGCTCCAAAACTTCCAATGCTAGCTCCGATCTCGATTCCAGCTGGTGAAAGTAAACGTGAAGTTGCCCAGGTACTTGTTGCATTCACATAATTATAGATAAAATGATACATAATGAAATAGCTAAATTGAAATGTCAAATTATTATCATATCAAATGATTATCGTTGGTTTAAATTAACACATTCCTAATACCGAAAAAAATTGTAGCATACATATATACACATGTATAAAATTCTGGTGTCATGATGTTCGTCATAATACTTCTCGGAAACGGTTGAACTAAATTTGTTAAAAAATTTTAACGACGTTCGGTATTACTGAGTATACACCAAATTTTTTCATACCTCTAAGTGATAAGAGTTGGCTACCCTTTATTTGTTAAATTTTTTAAACTAATTTTATTTCGTAATTTAAGAAGAAAACGCATACAGTCCTAAATTTTCACTCTCCTACTACAAACCTTATTTTGTAATAATTATTTTAGTATATCATTTAGTGCTTTTAACGAGATCAATACAATTAAAAAAATACATCAATTAAAAAGATAAATGTTTATAAAATAATATTTCATTCTATGAATCGAAATCAAAACCGTGAATTTTTTCAATTAATAGAAAGACTAACAAAGAGAGTACCGTTCGTAGACACAAGTTCTTTTGTAAAAGCATTTTATTTAAATTATTACAGTTTCTTACGCGATTTTTCGGCATTTTATAATTGATTCAGCTATCATTTATTTATTATATTATTAATTAAAAATTGAAGATTTATAATAAAATAACAGAGTTAATTTATTAACTTACCGTAGGGTAAGTTATAGTAATCGCAAAAATATCGAAAATGAAAATTTTTATATTTTTCTACGTTTCAAAGGTTTCTGAACATTTTAGCATACCTTGAAAAAATTGATGTATGTACGGATACAAATTTTTGTCGACGATTTCGGGAATACGAACCAACCGATATGAACGATTTAAAACACATTCGATTCCTATTAACAAGGGGACGTGCTGATTAGTTTTTTGACTTGACAGGTCAAGTCGTTTCGAAGGCAAAAAGTGCCAAAAATGGTAATTTAGTTTTTGAGAAAAATTTCGATTTCAATAATTCAAATAATATTTTACTTGTATTAATAGAATAAACAGATGAATACATTTTTGGAAAGGCAAGTCCAAAGGTTTCGGAGATCGAGTAAAAAAAGTAAAAAAATAAAAAAATGCCATTTGGGGGTCATAAATGATCATTAGACATATGCACATCAATTTATCAGATATTTTATAGAGATTTTAATAATAAGTATAAATTTGGTTTACATTTCTATGGGTTTCGTACCAACGTTTATCCGTTAGACTGCGACGCGGCGCTTCGACATTCGTTCTCTAAAACAGCCACGCATCACGATTGCTTTGAAAGACTAGCTGTAAGTGGAATTCTGTCTTAAGGCAATTAAGGCATCGTGCCTTAAGGCAAATTGCTGAAACTTCCCGTACCAAAAATTATTAATTTTTTAAAAACGATTAACATTTTTGAAAAAAATGTACTTTGAAAAAATAAGATTTTTGAGAAACTATATATATGGACAAAAAATTACTTTTTTTTTGAAAAAAAAAATTAAAAAAAAAAAAAATTTTTTTTTTTGAAAAAAAAAATTTTTTTTTAATTTTTTTTTTTGAAAAAAAATTTTTTTTTCTTTATTTTGACATATTGTGGAAGATCTGAACTTTTTTTTCAAAGCAATCGTACTGATTTAACTGCATAGGGACAAAATATAAAGCGCGTAAGCGCCGCGTCGCTGTCTAACGCATAAGCATTGGTACGGAACCCATAGGAATGTTAACAAAATGTATACTTATTGTTAAAATCTCTATAAAATATCTGATAATTTGATGAGCATATGTCTAATGATCATTTTTGACCGCCAAATGGCTATTTTTTTACTTTTTCCTCCATATCTCCGAAACCGCTAGACCTACCTTTATGAAAATTTTATCGATTCTTCATCTTGTCAATACAAGTGAAATGTTTTTTGAATTATTTAAATCGGACGCTCCGTTCTCTTAAAAACTGAGTTACCGTTTTCGGCACTTTTTGCCCCATATCTTCGGAACGGCTGGACCTGCCTTCGCCAAAAACTAATCAGCACGTCTCCTTATCAATACGAATCGAATGTTTTTTGAATTATTCAAATCGGTTGATCCGTGTTCCTGAAATCGTCGACGAAAATTTGTATCCGCACATACATACACACACATACATACATACACACACACATACACACACACATACACACACACACACACACACACATACATCCATTTTTTCTAAGGTATGCCAAAATGTTCAGAAACCTTTGAAACGTAAAGATATATAAAAATTTTCATTTTCGATTTTTTTGCGATTACTATAACTTACCCTACGGGAAGTTAAAAAAGTTTAAAATTACCAAAAAAAAAAAAAATTCAAAATATTAAAAAAACTCATTTTTCAAAAGTCATTTTTTTATAATTTCAAAATTTTCAAAAATCTATTTTTATCAAAGTTTTCAGCAAAATTTAAAGCTTTTTTAACTTCCCGTAGGGCAAGTTATAGTAATCGCAAAAAAAATCGAAAATGAAAATTTTCATATATCTTTACGTTTCAAAGGTTTCTGAACATTTTGGCATACCTTAGAAAAAATGGATGTATGTGTGTGTGTGTGTGTGTATGTGTGTGCGTATGTGTGTGTGTATGTATGTACGTGTGTGTATGTATGTGCAGATACAAATTTTCGTCGACGATTTCGGGAACACGGATCAACCGATTTGAATAATTTAAAAAACATTCGATTCGTATTGATAAGGAGACGTGCTGATTAGTTTTTGGCGAAGGCAGGTCTAGCCGTTCCGAAAATACGGGGCAAAAAGTGCCGAAAACGGTAACTCAGTTTTTAAGAGAACGGAGCGTCCGATTTAAATAATTCAAAAAACATTTCACTTGTATTGACAAGATGAAGAATCGATAAAATTTTCATAAAGGTAGGTCTAGCGGTTTCGGAGATATGGAGGAAAAAGTAAAAAAATGAGCCATTTGGCGGTCAAAAATGATCATCAGACAAATGCACATCAAATTATCAGATATTTTATAAAGATTTTAACAATAAGTATACATTTTGTTAACATTTCTATGGGTTCCGTACCAATGCTTATGCGTTAGACAGCGACGCGGCGCTTACGCGCTTTATATTTTGTCCCTATGCAGTTAAATCAGTACGATTGTTTTGAAAAAAAAAGTTCAGATCTTCCACAATATGTCAAAATAAAGAAAAAAAAAATTTTTTTTCAAAAAAAAAAAATTTAAATTTTTTTTTTTTTTTTAAATTTTTTTTTTCAAAAAAAAGTAATTTTTTGTCCATATATATAGTTTCTCAAAAATCTTATTTTTTCAAAATCGTTTTTAAAAAATTAATAATTTTTAGTACGGGAAGTTCCAGCAATTTGCCTTAAGGCACGATGCCTTAATTGCCTTAAGACAGAATTCCACTTACAGCTAGTTTAATTTAATTTTCAACACAGGAAGTTCCAACAATTTGCCTTGCCATGCACCACAAGTATAATAGTAAAATTCAACTTACTTTACCCTTTTTTAAAAAGTAATTTCTAACAAAATAAGTGAAAATTTGCAATATTCATTGTATATATTTATTAGCATGAAATCAAAATACATTACATATTTAAATTTTTCATTGTTGAGGGTTATTTTGGGATTATATGTTCCTACTAATATTGTCCTCTATTAAAATTTTGCTTCAATTATTTTTAATATGATTAAGAATTGGAGTCTTGGACGTATATATCTATATATCACAAATATTAAAACTGTTCGCTAAACTAACTTGATTATTATTTCAATAAATCGACCTCATAAAAACAATATTCGACAAAATGAGCTTGACCAAAAACATTATTAGAATTGATGTATTCGCATATAAATTATATGTCAATCTATTTTCAGATTAAAGCAACTGATAATGATATAGGAGAAAACGCTATAGTTACATACAGCATCTACCATGTATCCAATAATGGTGCAAACAAGTTTAAAATAGATCCCGATACAGGAATTATAGGTAAGGATTTATTTTTATTTATTTATATAAGTGTAATTTGATTTACATATACGTTTGCAGTATAATCGTTTGCGTTCTATTTCCGCCTTCCACAAATTGATATTTATCTTGAAATTCTATTTGCCAGGGGTCAATATTTCAATTATGTAAACTTGCACAAAATGGACAGGAATGTATATTATTTTTTTATGTCCAATGGAGAGAAGTCAAGTATTTCTCTTGATATTAACAAAAAATAAACAGAATTTTATAAAATATGAGTAAAAGACAAGTCCGGCGTTTACTTTTCTGAGCTTTAATTTATTTGACTTGATAAAAGCTTGAAAGTTCCCTGCTTATAAATTCGTTGTGATTTATTTCAAAAATAATTTATATGAACTTTATAAGTAATTCGATTCTGATCTGCGACTTAGAACAAATAAATAAGCCGCTCATTATATACACTAAAGTAAACTAAATCTAATTTAAATGTTTAAAGCGCTAATAAACTACTACTAATTGTCAAAGGTACTGGTTATGACTGATCAGTACTAAAATCGGGACTGAATAATATTTCTATTTAATACATTATTAAATTATTTAATATTGATTTATATATTTTTGCAGAGACTACGGGAAAATTAAGTGCTGGTGAGCAATATAGCATAACAGTACAGGCATCTGATCGAGGTGGTCTGCACAGTCAGTCGATTGTGGAAGTGTCTGTGGCTCCTGGACCAAACACCAGGCCGCCCGTATTTACCAGGCCTGTGTGGGAGGTGCAGGTTAGCGAAGGCGCTGAAATTATGTCCACAGTCACCACGATAACGGTAAGGAACTTCTTTTTATAAAAAAACTAGCAAATCCGACGAACTCCGTTTCGCCACCAGATGGTTTCGTGAGAAAGATGAAGAAATTTTTGGTTTGTTTTATATTTGAAAATGAAAAATTTGATTTTATTACACAACAGTAATGAATTTATTTCGATTACAAAAATCGAAGTGTTTTTTTAGTTGAACTTCTCTAAGTAAATGAAAGTGAATCCGCAAATTATCCGTTTCATTGAAGTGCTCTTTGGTTAACCACATTTTTTGTTTTTTGGTCTGACGTTAACACAAACAAAGCGGATGGTTTTCCAACTCGTGAACAGGCAACGTATAACTGCCGATGTGAAAAACAATGATTTTCTAAATAATTTATTTGAAATTTATCCCGCAAACCCTAAGCGATTAGCCTGGCGACTTGTTATTGCGAACGCAAGGCGAACTGGAAATTGCAATCGTTTGAAGTCGAACGGAAGACCAGTCGGAATCATTGGTATGTCACCAAATCGCCAGCAATTTTTGATTGAATGGTGAAATTCAGTGCGTGTACATCATTATTCTTTGCGGCAAGAATTGCTCGTTGACTTAACCAAGCGTAATTCTCACTAATGTCATTACTGGAATTTTTAATTACGGTACGTGAAGTTGCAGCAATTTGCATTAAGGGGGTATTCTACTGTAGAAGCATGAATTTTGCCCGGTTTTTGAAGCGCTGTATAAAGGAAACAAATAATATTTTTTACTATCGATTTTTTTTATCATTTGTTTATTGATATTTTATTATTACATGAGAAAATTATTAAAAAAAAAAAAATTAGAATTCACAAAGTTATGAGCAGTCAAAGTGGGGGCTCAAAAAAAAAGAGGGTGTCCTGGCGTGCATGATTCCAACCCTCCTGGTGATCCAAAACATAAAAAATAGATGGATTCTTAATTATTATAGATGCCGCTATCGTATGAACCTTGGATAAGTTAAAACAACTTTTTTTGTTTGAATGGCGGCAGTTTGAAAAAAAAAAATTTTTTTCATGTTTTTTTTTAACAATTCAGAATTTTTTAAAAATACTAAATGAAAAGTTATAATTTAGGGAAAGATCCATGCGATAAAACGATGTATAGAGAAGATCCTCTCCAAATTTGAAGTAAATCGGTTAATTAGAACTCGAGATATCCTTACCGCCAGCTCGAAAAAAGTAGTTCCGAGAAAAACGCGTTCAAAATTTTGAGACTCGGTCGGACCCGAACCGAGGCCACTTCACTAAAACGGATATAACTCAGGAAATAATAGTAATTTTGAAAAAATTTTTTAATGACATATTTTTGAATAACTAAACTTTGAAAATATGAAAAAAAAAAATTTCGATTTTTTCAAAATTCTACAGTAGAATACCCCCTTAAGGCACGATGCCATGCACCACTAATTTTCTTAACCATAAACCTTGCGGAGCCCGAGACATTTCAACGAATGCAAAATTATCGAAATCGGTTCGTGCGTTCTGGAGTTATATCGTCAGGAAAGAAAACCCGACTTATTTTTATATATATGTAGATAAATAAAGTTGTAGCTATGTTATGTTATAATTATTACCCAAATTTTAGGCAAAGGATCCTGAAGATGATCCAGTAGCATATTCCATTATATCCGGAAATGATCTTAGACAATTTTCTATTGGTTCAAATTCTGGAGTCATTACCGTAATAAGAAAGCTCGACAGGGAAGATCTGACACGATATCAACTCGTAAGTAATCGAATGAATAATATTGAACTTCACAAAACAAAAAATTTCAAACTCAATATACATGTAACTAAATGTCGAATCCATTTGCAGTTAATCAAGGCCGAAGATCCGGGAAAGTTGTCGAGCACGGCAACTGTAAACATCAAAGTGACTGACATAAACGACAAAAACCCGGAGTTTGATGAATCATCCTTGCCTTATACTTTTAAAGTCAAAGAAGGTGATTAATATGATTTGCCTACCGATGCATACTTTTGTGGCATTTATTTATTTCTTTCGTATTATTTATCATAGGATTAGTCAATGCGACCGTCGGAAGAGTTCATGCAACGGATGCCGATGAAGGAGTCAATGCGGAAATATCCTATTCACTACCGGGTGACATACCATTCATGATTGATGAAAAAACCGGTGAGATAAGAACGAAAATAGCTCTCGACTACGAAACCCAGAAGGTAGGCTTAGAAAATTATCACATTACCTAATAATAATTAATAAATTTGTTCATGATTAAAATATTAAATCATTTAAAAACACATTACCATAAAACATCGGGAACAATGATAAAATGCATCGAGATATATTGAAAAAAAAAATATATGCTACACTATTTAGTTTTTAGCTTTAATTTATAATTTCCCGTAGGGCAAGTTATTGTAATCGTTCAAAAATTAAAAAAAAAAATTATTATATCTTCACGTTTTAGAGGTTTCTGAACATCGGCATACCTCAGAAAAAATGGATGTGTGTGTGTGCGTATGTATGGATACCAATTTTCGGTTACCGTCCACGTTTTCGGGAGCACGGATCGACCGATGTGAAATATTCAAATAGCAATCGGTTCCTATTGATAGAGAGACGTGCTGATTTTTGGCAGAAATCGGTCCAGCCGTTTCGGAGATATGATGCAAAGAGTGCAGAAGATGGAAATTGATTGAGTTTTTGAGAGAATAGAGCATCAAATTTGAATGATTCAAAAAACATTCAATTTTTGATGATGAGAAGACGTGTTGATTAGGTTTTGGCAAAGATAGGCCTAGGCATTCCAGAGATAAATAGCTAGATGTGTAAAAAATGGCAGTTTTTGAAAGAAATAAGCATCTGAATTGAATGATTCAAATAATTTTCTGCTTGTGTTAACAAAACAATTGCTTTTGAAAAAAAAATTCATTTTATTTTTAACTTTCCGAAGAAGAAGTTTATGTTTTCATCAAAAAATCCGATTCGCTAATTTTATGGAAAAAGTATGTTTGTGTGTGTGTGTGTGCGTGTGCACCAACATATTTTTTGCCGTATATCGCCGTTTCAAAAAGAATTTCATGTATCTGGACGAGGACTATCGTTTGTCAGTTTTGTGTGACGATCGGCCGAGACGTTTCTTTATAAATAGCAAAAAAGTGAAAAAAATTTCGTCCATGTTTTAGCCCGCAATTCTGAATCGAAAGCTATTGCGTGCTGATTAGTTCTTGATAAAGATCGGCCGGGCCGTTTTCTTGTAATAAAGTGTTAAAAGATTTTTTTTCGACGATTTTTATGATTTTTTTGACGGTAGATACTATAGTCTTATAGATCATACTAAAATATTTTGCCTCTACGACAAATCGTTAAATTTTAAAAATTCGTCAAAGTTTGCAAAAATTAGTATCGTTGTTTTGGCGTTTGTCAAAATTAAACCTTTCATCGACGTTTTCTCAAAAACGCCGGAACCGATTTCTGAAAATTAAAAGCCATTTGATATATCTCGATGAGGACTATCGTTTGTCAGTTTTGTGCGACGATCTGCCAAGCCGTTTCTTTGTAATTTGGAAAAAGTGTTAAACGTTTCGTCCACATTTAAGCTCATACTACCCAATCGATTTTAAAAAATCGAAAACTGTTCGAAAGATATTAGTTGAGAATGACACTGATTAGTTTTAGGTGAAAATCTACCGAGCCGTTTTCTTGTAATTAACTGTTGAAAAAAAAAATTAAGTCGATTTTTATGGAGCTTTTTTTGCGATATATACTATGGTCTTATAGAACTTACTGAATTATTACGGCCTTACGACAAGTAGTTTAATTTTAAAAATTTATCAAAGTTTGAGAAAAATTGAAGTTTTTTTGACGTTTGTTAAAATTAAAATTAGACGATTTACTTGGTATAATGATAGAGTACTTGGTCTTATTAAACATACTAAACCATTAAAGTCCTACGGATACTATATAATTATAAAAATTGTTGATTTTTTTAAATTTGCTTTAAGAAAATACTCAGAGATAACGTGTTTGTTTGTTTTCAATTATGTGTAATAAATGCACTCGGAATACTTTTAATCACTCATAAATTAATTTATTTTTTATTGATTAAGTCGATTATTTACACGTTTCGGGAAGTTCATGTAACTTGCCTCAAGGCAAAATACTAATACCAACTAGTTTTTTTTTTTTTGTATATCGAAAACAAATCAGATTTCAATTTGAATTCTGGCTAAAGTTTTAAAGCTCACTTATATACTTTAAATAAATATTTTTGACTTTGTGATTCAGTTTAAATAATTCTTATAAATATTATACAATGTTACAGTATTTATAATAATCTATTTGAAAACATTTAATATTCCTCGAACATTTCGTTACAGTACGGGAAGTTTCTGCAATTTTCCTTAAGGCACGATGCCATACACCGCTAGTTAATATGATTTATTCGCATATCGCTTCAAAAAATTCATTAGTAATACCATTAGTGATATTTTATATAGTATTATATGCACTTTTGTTTGCATCCTTGCAATTAGTTACTGAATTTATTGCGTGACATTATTGCTTAGATATATTTTAAAGATTTTCAACATTCTGAAGGAAAACGTTTTTGCCAAAAAATCCGACTTGCTTTTTTTATGTTTACACGACATTTCAAACCATTCTTAAGCGTTTGGGACTAAATTCAATATATGATCGTGCGTACGTATGCGACCCGATTTTTGATATAATTAAAACTGCATTGTCCCTTTTCAGGAATACCAATTTACTGTGACCGCCAGAGATGGTGCTCCGGACCCACGTTTGGCCACTGCCTCGGTTACCGTCAGCGTTTTGGATCTACCTGACGAACTACCAATTTTCAAACAAACTGAATATACGGCTGTTGTTGCTGAAAATTTACCAAATCATCTAGTGGCCACAGTTCATGTAAGTGACAAATTAATTCGATATAGATATTGCCTGCACATTCGAACACTAAACTCGATGTTGATTGATTCAATATTGATTTTGAATGACAGCATATGCAAAAGTGACAAGTTGCGTGAAAGTAACTTCCAATTGACGCTATTTGACAACCTGCCTTTCAGGTTTACGCTATGAAATTGATTATTCGTATTGCTTCTTTTTGAAGTGGGACGCACATTAATTAAATAATTTATTAATCATGTATATGCATATCGCAAGATTTATTGCGGTTTAGAAAATCAATATGTGTTTCTTATTAACTACAAAATATATAAACATATTAAATTAAATTATTAATTATTAAAAGAATAATGATATAATTGATATGATAATATAAGTGGCATAAATTAAAATAAATATGAAGTTTTGACAATGAACCTTGAAACTTGATTAAATTGTTTTAATTTTGAGAGGATGAACTTACTATATAATATTGATAAACATATTAATGTTTTCAGTATTTTCTTAATATGAACTTTAGAAATGCCTCATAATTAGCGACATAGCGACTGAGCAAATTTATTTGATAAATTTCGGAAAGTCTAGCAAGCAAAATTTGTTTTTTTTAATTTATTGGTATATTGGACGAATGGTATAAATGGACAAAATGACCAAGTGACTTTTTAGAAATTGGCTAGTTTAAGTAACGTTTTAAAGACTTGTATAACATGAAGAAAACTCTAGTACTAGTTACAATCCTGCCAGATGTTGAGCGACATCGTCACAGTCTTTTTTTAGTTCATTCATATTATTTAACAATCAGAGTCGTTTACAGACCCTATGAGTTATATGGCTAAATTACACATAATAATAATAATAATAATAATAAAATAATAAATAGTGGGGTGCAAGGCATTTTTTTACAATAAGTCTATAGGCAGTTTCTTGTTGGCGGATTATCAAGCCATTGAAATGCATTAGGATGATCGTAAAATTTAGCATGATGTCTAGTACTGGTACTTTTGATGACATCCACTACAAAAGGGATGTTGAGATGTCAGTCTTGTTGCAATATTCAGTTCGAAAGATAGATACACATCTCGACTTCAAAATTTTATTTAAATTTTATTGACTTATTGATATTTGTAGTGTTTATATTAAAATCGATGATCTTACGCCAGTACTAGCGAATTCGATCAATTTTATTGCAATAATCTGGTTTGATGGAATTTTGATTACTAGTTCATTTTTGTAAGCACTACTGGTAGTTCATTCGGGATCAAGAAAAAAGAAAATTAAAAACTGTCAAAGGCGATTGGCGTTTAAATACTCAAATTACGTTTGAAAAGAGACCAAAAGATCTAGCGGTAAAAAGAAGACACTTGCATTTATTACAAAAAACCTCTTTTCACGTTCTGGGCCCAGCTAAGGTTAATTATGGTGTATGATTTGTTCCCTTTAGTAAGGTGACCAAATGCCCAGGTTTGGCCGGGCAGTCCCAGATATACGCCGTGTGCCCCGGGCTTTTTCAAGGCAATCGGGATTAGATCTTTAGTCCTGGATTGTTCCCGGTTTTCGCAAACTATAGGTTTAAATTGAATCTAACCAATTACTTAATAATGAAATTATAGTCACTAAATGAATATCTGAAATTATTATATGCAACGAATATTAATAAATAAAAGAGAATGCGTTATTAATGAAAACATTTCCGAATACAAAATTCCAAAGGCGGGTCCAAATAGCTTATCACATTAATTATTTCGAACTTTTATTTTCAATTTTACAAAAATTTGGACTGTCTAGCGTAAGAGCTAATTTCTTCAAGATAATTATGATCAAAATTGAAGAAAAAAACAGATTTAAAAACTAAATTATATAATATAACATATAATTGAATAACCAAGTTAATACTAAAAGTCTGTATTTCTGATTAAAAAAATGATTTAAAATACTGATTTTTATTGCATCCTTAAATACTATTTGTTATTTCAAAATCATATTCAAATTATGTTGCATACCAACCACCCCGTTACCTCCTCCTCCCCCCTCCCAGTTTAGCATAACTAACAATTATCGTCACGATTTTGTCTTTGAAAAATATTGTCACCTTACCTTTAGGCTCATGTTCTAAAAAGGATCAAACGATGTATTTATAAATGTCTCTTAAAAATTCGGCTCTGAGTAAGTCTAATACCTGATATGTCATTTCGTCCGTACTATTTGGACAAAAAGGATTTTGTAGTAAGTTGCATTTTTCCTTAATATATTATTATATTGTTATTTAATTATAAGACTATGTTACTGGTAGTCAATGAATCTAACATTGCAATAGTTTAACAAAAAAAAAATCAATTTTTAACACAAATATTAACATTGCAGGCTGAAGATCCGGACACCAAGAAAGAAATAACATACACCATAAGACAGGGTCCTGCCGAATTATTCACCATAGACCCTGTCACAGGAGACATACGAACAACTCGCGGATTGGACTATGAAGAAGACACCAGCTACGAACTGATCGTAGGGACTGTGGAAAACAAGGGAAATTCTCCGGGTGCAACGGCACGAATATTCGTTACTGTGGAGGTAAATAATAAAGAAAATTCATGTTTATATCGATTTCTGTCATTTGTTTGGATTACTTTGGAGTGCATCTTTAGTAAAATGTCAAAAGATAGTGAAATGGAACATATCGTGCAGATGTGTGCAAGTATTATTAATTCGAACTAAAATTGTTTTTATCTTTTACAGGATGTGAACGATATTCCACCAGTATTCAGTACCATACCCGATGTTCAAGTTTTGAACGACAACTCACCAATAGGACTTTTGGTGACGACTCTTCGAGCTACTGATGGAGACAGCACGTCTCCTAATAACAAAGTTCGCTTTGAATTAATAGGGCGTGGACAAGCTGCCAAATATTTTGTACTGGACCCATATAGTGGGGCTTTACGAGTACGCGATGACCTCAGTAAAAGTGCCGAGGATCAATATTATGTTAGTATATAAGCACATCTCTTAATTTCTTTATTTCTCACATCATCAACGTGGTACACATATACCACACTACATACTTCAATATCCTGACTAAAAGCCCGAATAGTTATAAAAAAGTCAAAGTTGCATTCGAATTATACCAATTGGCTTGTAAATTCATACTAAATATTCGTTCTATATTGATATAAATAATTAGATCAATCATTATCATTAATTAACAGATCGACGTCAAGGTTTATGATTTGGGAGAGCCGCAACTTTCCAGCTCGATGACACTATCAGTAGAGATAAATCGTGTTGGAAGTGAGACCACAGAACCTGGTGCTGGTTTTGCAGACGACACATTTTCAGTAGAAGTCGAGGAAGATACGCCACCAAGATCATTTTTGAAAAGGTTGTCAGTTATTGGAGCCAGACAGACCGATGATGAGACACCCGTTACTTGTCGAATACAGAAAGGAAATGAATTGGGTGAGTTGGACAACTTTCCTGATAGTAAAAAATGTCATGATTGTTCAATTCATTTTATGGCTCAAAAATGTTATGTATATAAAAACTTGTTTATTCATTTAAATTTTATAAAAACCGAATGAAATACATAAAGAAGAATACAAGAACAATGGTACTTTGACATACGAATTTAATTCATTCCGCAACCACGCTCGTATATTGAATTGCTCGTATCTTAAAGCATTTTTTTCCATATGCATATACATTGAAATACCATTAATTTGTTCCAGCACTCCATATTTTGTAAAGGTTTGTGAATATTGGAAATAAATTTACTATGTATTAATTTATTATTTTTTCCCGTCATTCATGATATTACGCAAATGAGTTAGACATGTTGTAACTTTTTAGGGGTAACTTTTTTTCATATATTTTTAGAGCACAAAAAAGAGCACCAAAATGAATTATTGTAGAGCCCTCAACTGGAAGTATACCCTTTTACGATTTCTGTTTAAGCAAAGTACATAACTATAATGTCCTACATTCCAATCGTAATCGTCATCCACATATTTTTCAATAATTTTACTCTTTAATTCAAAATATATAGCTCTTGTTTTTGGACCCATGGTTAATGTAAATAAGATTTAGAAAATAGTCAAATTTTTCGTATTTTAATTTTGCTATTAATATTTTTATAGACAACTCTTACTCGCACAAAGCTCGTATAACGAACTTAGCTTGTAAATGTGACGAATAGTTCATCGAGCGGATCGTATTTCGAAACACTCGTATGTTGGGTCATTCGTAAGTCGAGGTATTAGATTAAATTTATAATCACCATCATCAGTAACGATGCATACCTAAAGAAAAATCATCTATCTACACCTAATATGCCTTTGATACTTATTTACTTATTTGCGGACAATATTTAAGTATACATAATAGCTCTGTTTTAATGTAATAATTTGGTAGGTTATATAGATTATTTCCATTTAATATTAATAGTAAAATGAAACACTTCTCAATGCGAACAAAGTTATTTCATTTTTATAACATTTATTGAAGATCTAAAGTATTTATAGCTCAATTTTGTAATATAATGTAAAATTATAGATTATAATTAAATACTAGTATATTACCATACCCGCCACGGAATTTTACCCTCGATGGTTACATCAAAAACTTCAACGTTGCGACATCTCTTGATTCTTCAATTTTTCCATGATTCAAACACGCGAGAATTAAAAGATTGATTATTTCGGCATAAATTTTGATAAAATATTAAAGCAATATTCACGAATTGAATTATAATTTCTTAGCAAGCGATGAACGTGATAGTTCAATTTCTTCATCGTTCGAATTGCAACACCAAAACTAATAAATAAACCCCTTTAACTTGTATCTTTTTTTTGATTTATTTTTCATAGCAAGCTATACAAAGTATATTCAGCTACATTTGTTACAGTTATATATTATTTGTCTGCGTGAGAAGGATCGCTATCCTGCGATAGCGCCGTCATAGAAGTTATGTTATATTCTGTAGTAAATCATTGCAGATTCTTTTTTTAACTTATATCTGTTTCAAGTATCCTTTAATGATATATTATGCTCGTATAAAATATATAAATTTGATATGATTTGATATGAATAAATACTTTACTAATTAGAATTATTTTCAAATTTACTAACTTCACTAATTAAATTATTTTTAGGATTGTTCTACATCAATGCGACGGACAGTCAGACATGTTCTTTATATACCAACGAAACCGAATTGGACTACGAGACCGCAAAGGAGCACATCCTGCATGTCGTAATGGAATCACGTGTAGTCAAGATCAATCCAGCGAAGAAAACTTGTATTGTTAAAGTTTTGGTGACTGATGAAAATGATAACAAACCGACGTTTATGTATCCGGAAAAAGGTCCACAAAGTATTACGCAGCCATCCCTAATGATTCACCTTGGGACACCTCAGTATTACACGTGCAGGTAAAGATTGTAATAACATTTTGTCGGAAATGGTTCAAAATTTGAAAGTTTTTTTTTATTTTCCATTTAACTTTGTTTTGCGATATGTTTATACAAAAACAATAAGCAGAGACTGCTAACAAGATATGTGAAGAATAAAAAAATTGATTTGAAATTAGGGGATACACCAACGGCGTATCTACTAGGAATATTGAATTTGAAAAAGCTTGTGAAAAAATAATATTATACACCTTTCTAAAATCATTTTTTTCCGCATTAGTATGAATTGCAGTTTGTTCAATGTAAATTATTTTATCAATTTTGCTTCCCTTAATTTTTCTTAGTTTTTATCATCTTTTCTATTAAATGAATATAGACAAGTTCTCTAGAAGTTATAATCAGATACATTTGGTTAACAAATGTAAATGTTTGGCTTATCAACAATTCCTGATCATCGATCATATATGTGTAAAAATATATTATAAATGGTTCTTCATAAGAACAAATAAAAAAAACTGAGTTGAACCCTTTTTGTAAAATGTATTAACGATTCTACAGAATTCGCAACTAGTTGGTCATAGTAATGCTACGACAAAAAGCTTTTTACTGATGAAGTAAGGGAAACGACTTAAATAGGAACTTTGAAGATTAAACATATTTTTTATAGATGTAACAATCAAACCCACAGTCAAAATATTACATATAAATAATTTGTAACTTCATATATCGCCTTTGTAACTAAAGAATAAAATTAATTCTCAGGCTACGGATAAAGACAGCGGCCAGTATGGTAAAATCGAGTACGACTTATTGCAAAACGATATCGCTGATCAGTTTTTTGCAATTGATAAATTAACTGGATTAATCAAAACACAGAAGACATTTGAAGATGTATCAGATAATGACTTACCATTCAGGTTTGTTATCCAAGCCAGAGATAACCCAGGAGAAACCAGTAACTACAACAAAGCCGAAGCAAAAGTAGTGGTGAGTAACTGTAATAAAAAAAAGTATATAAGTATATAAGTATATAATCTTAGCCATCGAATGCTATTAATTTAAAAAGTGTATTTTTTACAAACTGAACAAGTTTTCCTTGAAATTGTACTAATTATGAGTCACGCCAATATCGAATACAATGACTATAATTATTCCATAAAGAAATGATATAGGGCTAGTTTAAATTGTTTCGATTGCTTTGGAGTATTATTGGTATACATTTAGTCTTTTGACTAAATATAATAATTAAAAATATAAGTAAATTGGAACACCAGACATTAATGAAATATTAAAATTATTTTTCAGGTCAACTTGATATCAGATAAGAATCGCATGATATTAGTGTTTGCTGATGCCAGGCCGGATGCCATGCGCGGAAAGAAGCATTAATCGCCGCAGCAATGCGGGATCAATCAGGCCTAATGGTGGTGGTGGAAAAATTGGCAGCACGACAACATATTGTCGATGGAGTTTTGGAAACGGATCCAACTGCTACAGATGTATGGTTTTATGCTGTCGATCCCCACACCGATCGTATTTTGGAGAGAAACTCTAGCAGAATTCAAAGGTAAAAAATTAAATACTTGAAAACCTCATGTGTGGGGAGGAGTACGAAGTTTTGATCTATAGATCCTTTTTAGATTGCATTTTGCATTATTTGCTGACGATTTGTATAAAATTACACTCTACGATGAATAATTCATTTTCAGGTCAATCTTGGAGGCCCGAGCACATCTAATTTAACGTTTTTGGTATCTGGCGTTGCTCAGGCTACGGCCAAAGAAATTCACGACCCAGTGTCTCCTAATCCGCGGGGTGGACTGCTATTGCCGTTGGATCTCAACTATTCCCTACGCCCTTATTACTGTGGCTTGCGTTATTTTTTGTACGGGAGTTGCTGGTATAATTTATATATGCGTTTCGTGGACAAGTAAGTGTTATTATTGAAATAACCAATATATGGAATGTGAGCTATAATATTTCTATTTGGATTTGCTTAAATATATTTGCTTATGAAATGTGCAGAATAGAGTACTTTTAGATTTTGAATCTGAATATATAAAATAAAAAATTACATTTATTTTAATGTGTTCGTTTTGTGTAATGTATATGAAGTAATACCATCATGGCTACTTACACAGATTTTTCATAAGTTTTAAAAAAATCATTCCTTCAGCAAAAAATATAATTTATAAAAGAGTTAATGTTAGTT